CAGAGCAAAACTAAAACGAGTAGCGCTTCAATACAATCGGTCGTTGTTGTCGATGTGAGGGGCTTCCACGCGGTTTGGCTTTATGAAGCAGGCATGCACGCAAACAGTTAGGTCATGACGCAAACAATGACACAATGACGCAGCATCAGCCGGGCTCTGAGCGGTGTGAACAGAGCTGAACCGAAGAACCGGTTCCGAACCAGAAAAGCTCTAGCACGGAGCTAGAACGGGAAAAGCCTTGGTGTGAAAGGGGCATTAGAGATGGTGGTTGCCAGAGGTGTGGACTCGAGTCACATGACTTGGACTCGAGTCAGACTCGAGTCACCAATTTGATGACTTGAGACTCGACTTGACAAAATCACAAAACACTTGTGACTCGACTTGGACTTGAGCCTTCTGACTTGAGGTGACTTGATACTTTAATTCAGAGGTCTCCAACACGCCGATCGCGAGATGCCGTTAGAAGAGAAGACTCCCGTCGGGGAAAGCAGAATCTTCAGCCGCTCCTACTCTTGCTGAGAATCCTTGCAGGCAGCTTTATTTAGCTGGGCCACCATGCGGCCAATCATATGCGAGGACACACTAGGATCATACCATTATGTGAAAGAAGGGTGGGGGGCACAACAGGTGTAGTGGTACAGGCCAGCTGCACAGAGCGGCGGGGAGACGGGGAGCCGGATTTAAATGCAAGCGCATCGGAAAAAGTCAAGAAATTAGAGAAAACCGAAAAAATAAGCAGCATCTGGCTGCATTTGAATGATATTGGAGAAAGCAAAGCTGAGTTCAGGATTTCTAAAATGAAAATAACCTACTTTTTTTTTGTATACCACTTTTTTTGTATACCACACAATTTATTGTCAGAGGTGGGAGAAGTTCAGATCTTGAGTAAAAGTACCAGAGTGTAGGAATACTCGGTTACAATAAAAAGTCCTGCATTCAAAATGTTACTCAAGTAAAAGTACAAAAGTATTAGCATCAAAATATACTAGATAGATTGTGGGTCCCTTATAACATGTCCTACACAGTGGAAATAAACATTCTGGTCACCTTAACATCAGGGATCTTATACATTAACTCCTTCTGAATCAAACCGTCACAGTAGCCTTAACTTACTGATCCCTCTTAAAATAGAAAAAAAACACGTTACTTTACCAGCAGAGAGAAAATGTATTATTAATGTGACTAATAAAGAGCAGTTTGATTATTAAGTATTATTCTGTAAAGTATAGATGTCATTACATTTGGTGAAAAGCACATAATGACTTGTTTATGACTCGTTTTGTCAAAGTTTAGGACTTGGACTTGAACTTGCCCATCCTGACTTGAGACTTGACTCGAACTTGAGCGCAAAGACTTGAGACTTGACTCAGACTTGCAAAACAATGACTTGGTCCCACCTCTGGTGGTTGCTAACAAATGACTACATAAACTACTAGACTTTATGACGCGGACATGAGTCCTCCTTCAGCTAAGCGGAGGTGACACTAAGCAAAAATCACATTGCGTTTGTTGAGGATGCCCTTGCTGCTCACATTTGGATGGGCCTACGAAAATACAACATCACTGCACCACTTTATGCTCTATTGTTTATTTAGCCCAGCCAAACCTTTTCTTACTGCTGGCAGTGAGAGCTGTACAATGAAAAATCAGATTCCCTTTATTCATCCAACAGAGGGGAAATGTAATTTGTTACAGCAGGTAAAGAGCCAAAGGTAGCTGAATATGAATTAAGAAGTGAATCGTAAAAATATGAAAGATAAAGTAGAAATTACACATCTTATTAAATACGAATCCATTAGTGACAGTTTTGAGATAGCAGCCAGTTGATAGTATTAAAAGTAAAATATGTAAGAACTTTATTGCCAAAAGAACAAACTGTGAATTAAGTGTATCTACAAACATAAGCCATGAAACAGAACTTGAAGCCAAAACTTCATTTACTTCACTATAGCATGACTTGCTAATCTTTCCCTATGAGTTATATTAATATAACATCAGGCAATTCTGTGTTTTTATTATTTCCCAAAAGGTGGGGAACACATGATCGAAAAGTGGACATATTTGCTCTGGGGTTGATATACTTGGAACTCCTGTGGAAAGTCTCTCCTGGCCATGAAGGAGGAGAGGTGAAGTTTACAGACAAAGACTTGCCACCACAATGTTACTATAATTTGTCGACTTTTCTCTTCTTGTATTTATATGCAACATTCAACTCAATTGTTGAATTATTCATAACTATGTTCTTTCATCCTTTTATCACTGCATGAATGCCAGGTTTTAAAACATGCAAGAAAACAGATTCTCCCGACAGACTTTTCACGGGCCTTCCAAGAAGAGGTATATTACAATGTTTGTAACAATCAGCTTATATTTTAAGCCTAGTTACCATTGAAAAAAGGTCGGGAGCTACTGTGGTAATGTAACCAGGCAAAGAGAGTGGCTGATACATTAAGAGTGTCCTCTAAAATAATAAAGTCCCCCCCCCCCAAACTAAAACCTAGACAGAGTCAGTATGGCATCACAAACAAACACAATTATATCTGGAGTAATTCTCAGGCATTGTCCAACTTCAAATGCAGTCTTCTTGTTAAGGCTGAATAATCCAAACGAAAGCAAAAATAATAAGTCCAAAGTCACTTCACAAAAAAAGGTAATCCAGTTCAAACGAGAACACTGCCAGTTGAGGATAAAACTCCAAAAAGAAGGGACTCACCGGCCGCCGAAAAAGGGAAATAATATTCCTTTTAACTCTTGTGATGTCAGTCTTTGCTGCTCCTCAGGCTCTTTGGATGTCAATGTTCCTAAAGCCCATACAGTATCCCCAACCTCCCTCCAAACCTTTTATTTTCCTCCCAAACAAACAATTCCCTCTGCCTTTGTTCCCTTTGGCCCCGGCTTTTCCTCACCTGTATCCAAATGCACACCTGAGTAGCACACCAGATCTCAGTTAAAGGTATTATTTTTTGCAGAACCTAATCATCAAGGAAATGCTGCATGAGAAGCCAGAGGAGCGACCTAACGCAAGTGATCTGAAGGCACAGCTGGACAAGTTGGCTCAGACACAACATGTGCCCCCGAAAAGTGCAACTGTGTGATTATCACGAATTGTGACAAGTCTTATGAGGGTAATGGGATCTGTCTGTCGTCTGAAGAAAATATTTGATATACTGTTTATATGATGTTATTAATATTCATTGATGAATGGTTAATGGACTGCACTTAAATAGTGATGTATTCAGCTTAGCACTGTCCTGTCTGCACTTACAGGAGTTCAAATCATTCACCATGCAAATAAAAAATGATGGGTTTAATAATCAAAGATTGGAATGTGAAATCCAATGTTATCATAATTTTAGTAACTCAGATATTTCACATCTGTCCAGCTGTTTTAAATAATCATGTGCTGATTATTTCTGTGTCAACAGTTGACATTTTATGTAATGCTGGGAATGGTTTATACATACTACATACTTTGTTTTGTACTAAATATGTTAAGTTTGAGAAGTTAGCCAAAACAAACAGCATCTTTTTTGTATTGCTATATTTTATAATCTTTCACGAAAGACTTCCCTTTTGTTTTTAAATGAGATATTACATCTATTTAGTTTGAACAAATAATCATGTCCTGACTAATTACTTTGGCAGTATGCATCCCAAAAGTATATACAACATCTCTATAGTGTTTGATTGATGGTGTGACACATTTCAAGGGCTCTAACATCATCATGATTTGAGTTGTAGCAGGGTAATGTGGACTCATTCCTATATGACCATGAACATGTGTGTGAAAGGGGTCTTTATGGGGGTATTTCGTGCAATAAGTAGCACGTTCCTTTTATGTAGTTTACATGTTAAACTTGAACGTCATCAAAGGCTTTTAGCACAATCAACTGCATACCATTGAGGTCCCGGTGACCTTTTTTCAGTGCTAAGTCAACTGTGTTGAGTTGTTGTGTTAGCTGCATGTTCTGAAATGTTCTCCATGGTTGGAGAACTGTCACTACTACCAAGATGATAACTTGGTCAAGTCAGCATTGTAAAGCTCCCACCAGAACCTGGCATTTCTATAATTTGTTACAATTACACACATATTAGTTTAGGAAAAGCTGCACCTACATGCTCCACCAGCTCCACCAAATAATTTCACACTGGCCCAAGTATAGGTTCCTTAGTGTTGCACATTACAAATCAAAGCCTTGCCAATACAAATGTTAACATCACAATCGCACACACACATTTAACCACCATCTATATATTTGTCATTCGGCTGACAACTTCCCAAACCTGCCTAACCTGTGCCCAGCCCCAGAGCCAGGCACTGGGCATGGTCGTTGTGGCTATGGCAAGAGTCATACTGAGACAGTGGGTGCATAAACCAAAAAATAAACCCTGTGTGTCAGGGATTGTGTCAGCAGTCTTGTGTAAGTTAGGTTAAAACATTTGTACGAGTGGTGCCAAGTTTGGGGTTTTTGGTGTCTTTAATAAACAGTGACATTCCATAAATCAATAGACATTAATTCAAGAGTAAAGTATGTCGGAAAGCAGATGTCAGGTTAGAATAAATACAATGAGAGTATAGCCTATAATGAAATAAAATATCTAAACATAAAATACAAACTGTAGTGCCGAGAGATAGGGAGTCGGAGGCGGTGCAAAAGTGAACTTTATTGCGGAGCAGAAAAGGACATGTTGCTGGCTTGCAGTCCGAGTAGACAAGAGAGTGAAGTCAGGAGGGCACACAACATATAGTAAACACCTAACATGTCCGTGTGGGAACAATACTCCCAACTGTAGTGCCATGTATGAATTATGTCCCAGTGTATTAATAGGCGGTCACCACAAAACGATCAAATCCAAAACATCAATGTACCTACTGTAAATCAGGTGCCACATTAAAAAATATATAACAGTGTATGTTTTGTTGTTTGTCTGGATTTATGTAGGGCCAATCAGTATTGTCAAGTCGCAACGTTATGACGTTTACTGTCATATCAGGAAATCGAAACTTAGTTGTATCCAAATTCAGTTGAATCGAAGCAGCAAGGATATACGCGGGACCAAACTGGGAAAACCTAGAGCTGCTGTGAGCGGTGTACTTTGATCCTATCGTTTTACGTAATTCAAGATTACAGTCTGACGTGTTTTAAAATGGAAAGTGCTGTTTACAAACTGAACGAATATGCGAAGAAACCAAGTGTTTTACTTATATATGAGGACCTTGGCTCTGTTGGCCCAGACCACGATAAAACGTAAGTTTAATAACATTCCTTTTACCCGTGATTTATGCTTAAGCCTTCCTGTGTAGCTATATTATTCGGTCGGAACGGTAGTGGGAGTGGTTCAATATCAACATTATTGGACTTCTCACAGACAAAAACAGCTTTTCCTAGAGGACACATGGTTAATCAGAAAACTCCTTAAAGAATCATTAAACTACTTTTTAGTTGGTCTACATTGGGAAGATACCATAAACTAAATACAGAATAAAGTACATATAGGCCTATCAAAGCCCTGCATGTTCATAATACAGTAGGCCTATACTTACACTTTTCACTCACACAGGGATCGGTCATTTTCTGGGTGTGATTACTTCCTCATAATGTATGTGTAACCTTTGTTTATAACAAATGGCCTAAATTATAAATTAACAAATCTTCATTATAAAAAAATCGTAAATGAAATGCACATTATTTTACTTTACTGAGCTTCTTAAGGGGTTGTTGATTTTACAATGTCCCAAGTGCAAAGTAATCAACCTCTTCAAGAACAATAAACTAATTTACTTGTAAAATACTCAATAAAGTCATGACATATGTGAGGACGTACTGTATACATAATATGTATTTCCTTTTTGTAAAGCACTTTGAATTGCCTTGTGTTGAAAGGTGCTATACAAATAAACTTGCCTTACAATGAAAATAAACTGCACCCTTGGGCTTCTTGAGAGAAGTAGGCCTACAGACAAGTCAAAAGATGCACTTACTGTATAGGCTATGTTGATAAAAAATAATGAAAGGATCACTACATCAATCGATATATATATATATATATATATATATTTGTAATTGACTGTATTTCCCTGAAGTAATTTTCCTCCTGATAGTAGCCAATTAAATTGAGATCATTTTAAAGCAGTAGCATATATTTTTAATGGGACAATAATGTATGCCTAACTTACTCTACTCCATGTAGAGTAAGTTAGGAATACATTATTGCTCACAATTAACAACATGGATGGTTACTAGAGGCTTACTATTATATTGTGCAGAATCAACTGATTGAATGCATCCCAACCCCACCAACATTATTTCAAGTCTGCCTGAATAACATAATTATAATTGCTCTACAGATTCACCCAGAGGGTGGTCCTGAATGGTAAAGTCTATCCTGAGGGTGTGGGGAAGACGAAAAAGGAAGCCAAGCAAGATGCTGCTAAAAATGCCCTGAGAGACGCACATCAGGAGGGCGCACATCAGGTATGAGTTGCGATTTTTCGTCCTCTATTTTTAACAAGCCCCTTTTATTAAAGGTAAAATACCAATCATAGGCCTAAACATATGCTGTAGGGTGTGACACAGCATTTTTGTTCTCCAGTCTGCAGTTGAGAATTACAACCCTACATCAGCTCAACAAAAGAAGGAACCAAATCAAAATGATTCTGATATATGGTGAGTAAATCACAAAGCCAGTGCAATGTTTTATTTTCTTGTCTTCATCTGTGTTAAATGTATCTTGTTTATTACAGTAATAAGACAAGAAGCCTCAGTGTCAACTCTCAGGACAACAGCTCTGAACAGAATTTCATTGGATTAGTTGACCACTACTGTCAGAAAAAAAACCGCTGCCATTCATTCATCGAAGACAGAAGATGGGGACCAGCCCACGAGCCTCAGTCAGTATGAACCTCAACCTCTGTAACCTGAATAGACACTAAAGTCACTCTATGCTAACTCTTCATTGATTTCCTGTTCTAAACAACATTCAAACGTTAAAGTAATGAACTAAACTCCTCCTTTTAAAAAAAACACAGATTTTCCTACAGATTAATAATCGAGCACAAGGAGTATCCAGTGGCTGAGGGAAGGACTGCCAAGGAAGCCAAACAAAAGGCAGCTAAACTCGCCTGGGATGCCCTTCAAGAGCAGTCAGACTGGGACAGCAAGGTATTTTATATTGTGTACTTCTTTAAACCCTCAATTTAAGTTTAATAGCTCCACTCCACAATATAATATAATATATATTATAAAATAGTTTAATACAACGGTGATAGCAAGGTGTACTTAACTGGCAGCTAAGGGTAGTTAAGCAGAACATTTGTGGTTTAATTTCCCTTAAGCTGCATTCACATGGTACTCAATTTTCTCTTTGCTCACCGCGAAGTTGGGCACAGATCTTTGCAGTGAAAACAGTTAGTTAAGTTTATTTTATGCTGTGTCATCAGGTTGGTTGTGTGTCAACAGTTTAGCAGTAAATGAGGTTATAGTTGAAATCATTTTAACTTTGAGCGCATCGCTCAAAACAATTTACGGGTGGTGCTCGATGCCGAGGGGAGCTCTTCCTCCTGGTGTGGCGGCACTGCCCCTTCCATAGAAACACAACGGCAACATCAGTGAAGAGACTTTTTACCGCTGGTGCTGTGAAAGCAGCTTAATGCTCTCAGAGACCATATACAAGTCAGCCCTTTACATTAAACATACAAGCAAGGCATTTCATTGTTTCTGTTTGATGGATTTAATTGATAGCCCCTTTTCTTCTGATAATGTCTAATATTATGTCAAACACCTTCTCTTTCATTTTAGGTGTCCGTCAGATCAACAGTGTCTGAAGGTCGTGCAACGCCTGTGTTGTCAACGCCATCAACTCCCCTGTAAAGCATTTACTACGAATTCACACCTGGGAGTGGCAAAGTGCTGACTGTGGCAAGCGTTCATGCAGTTACAAAGCTGCGCGTGCCGCTCCTACCTCAGCCACATTAAAAGTTGGGGATAGTTTAACTTTGTGCGGGCTAGTGTGGCTGGAATTTTCAGGCAGCAAACCCTAATGTGTTGATCTAAAACAAAATGGAGGATGCATTTTCAGTTCAAATCGGAATTATTATCCACTTAGTAGGGGCTTGGACTGTGGAGAGGGTCCCAGTTCCCCTCCTGGGCCATGCTCTGGTCCCCTTTAGCAAGACACCGGACTTCCCCCCCACTCCCCATTGCTCCCCGGGAGCTCTACAATCCTAGTACTTAGATGGGTTTAATGCAGAGGTGACATTTCACTTTGTGTGCTGTGTGACTATTACATATGGTTTCATCCTCCTCTTCTATATCTATTAGTGACACATAGTGACAGAAATAAATAGCCACACAACTGCAGAAACCTTTAATTATTGCTGCAAGAGGCACTTCGCTGCTCCCCTGTGTGAATTTTGTATTATTGCCATTGGTATGAAAGCAGAACATGGAGTTAAATACCAAGAAGGCTTTACTCATGTCCCTCCTTGTATTCCCCTAGGGGTTCGTATAAGGCATCATCACAAAGAAAGTCGACGAGCACAAGTCACTCAATAACAATTGAGGATTCATTAAACCCTTCCCAAGCTCAGGTCTGTTTTCCCGCCATCTGACCGTGGTGACATTAAATAATAAACATTATATTGTAAATGGCTCCAAGAGGTACATTATTTGATTTGGAACATCCTACATTCTAACAATTATCTGGTTTTTTGTGTAGATGCCCTTGGAGTCTGAAAATGATACCCCAACCAGGTTGTCAAATTCACTGTAAGGCACTTATTTACTCTAGTATTGAAACAGATTGTATAGCTTAACGCTGGACAGCTCTAACAATGCCTCTCATTATGTTCCTTAGAGAGTCTATTGCATCGTCACCAAGCATGTCCACAGGTACAAGTGGCTCTGGAATATTCACCGATTCATCAAACTCTTCCAACGATAAGGTATGTTCTTTATACCACAATATTTTTTGATAAGATGTTATTATCTTACAAGACAGACATAACAAGTTAAACAGCAATACACCGCACAACTAATGCTGGAACACATGCATGCACATGGCCTTGCATCAGTACATGGTTTTAATCTAAAACATATATATTTTGTTGTTATTATTTATTTTGTTTAATTTGTTTCCCTACTCTTGATGGATTCTCCATATTGGTCCCACTACACTGTTTAGCTGGAGTCAGAGCTACATCTATGTTCAATATCTCAGAGTGTATTTCCAAGTACATTCCAGAGGGCCTTAACAGCTGAGAATAGATGACCATACCGAATTTACAAGGGTGCACACCTCCCCTCAAATCTATACCAGCATAAGCCTGAGAGGGTTTGATTCACCCTTAAGTGTAAAGGGGGTGATGTATACTCTGCAGTATTTTATAACACATTTGGACAGTGATACTGAGTTCCAAAGGTTTTCCCGCTTGCTTCTTTGTACTTCTACCCCACTACATCCAGAGCAGGGTTTCCGTTAGCCGGTAATTACCGGTTTTTAGCTGGTAAAATTTATTAAAAACCGGTAAATTCAAAACCTGCCGGTCAAAATGTCTGGTAATAATTAGGGATGCTCCGATAGATCGGCCGCCGGTCATTATCGGCCGATATTCACTCTTAATAGTTTGATCGGTGCTCTCTATAAAGGCCGATCAGGAGATCTGATCGATATGGACATAAACGAGAGTGAAGTATAACCGGACACGCGAGAGAGATCAGATCAGCTGCTGAGTCTGACCGAGACACGCAGCTCTGCATAATCACCTGAAGCCCCGCCCTCTGTTTAGCGTGCTGCAGGAGCTGCATGAGAAACTGACGGGCTGTCAGAGAGAGCGGGAGGGAGAGGGGAAAAGAGAGGATCCGTTTCTCCCGTGTTATTATTCAAAGTTGATGTAAACTTTTGAATAATGTACGTTATCTACTACAAGTAGTTAGTTTGAATGTAATAATTATGCTGTTTGTTGTTTGTGGAATAATTTATTGAAAAATGAAGCTGCATTTTTCGATCTGTTACGATTATAACCTGAAGCAATATAAAAATGAGCCCCGTGAACTGAGTTTTAAACATCAGCATATCTGCTCATAGTCCGGTAATTACCTGCTAACGGAAACTCTGCAACACAACTCTTATTATTATTATTGAAATATGACCGGTAAGTTTCAAATTTGTCCGGTAAAATAAATTCTGCCCGGACATTTGACCGGCGAGAAAAAATCCTAGCGGAAACCCTGATCCAGAGGTGTCAGGTTGGGGGTTATCAGGACCCAAACGCAGAATGAGGAGAAGGGGTGCAAAGTATAACAAAAAGCGAGCTTTATTTAACAAAAGCTGTTGACAATGAACAAACAAGAAGAAACCTAAAATCCATAAACCGGTAGGACAAGGAAGCATCCAGACAAAAACCGACAGGGACAATGTCAGGGATGGGGGAAAATCAGGACCCAAATGCAGAATGAGGAGAAGGTACAAGGTATAATGAAAGCGAGCTTTAATTAACAAAAAGCTGTTGACGATGAACAAACAACAAAAAACCTAAAATCCATAAATCCGTAGCTTGAGGAACATAAGGACAAAAACCGAGTAGGGACCAACATGAAGCGTGACATGAAAGACGACCATCAGACATGGAGCACAGCGGAAGACGAGACTAAATACACAGAAGGCTAATCACAGGACAAGATACAGCTGGGCAGGGGAGGCAGAAACACAAGGGCAACAGGTGAACACAATGAGACAATCAGACACAGGAAGGCAAACACAGGAAGGAAGGACACAGGGAGAACAGAACTTCAAAAATAAAATCAGAGTCTAAAAACACAAAACTAAAATCATGACAAAAGGTAAAAGTGTACTTTTACTCCACTACATTAATTTTATGTATTACCTTTAGTTACTTTACATATTTGAATTAATAATATGACATTTAAACAACACTTAAATCAGACTTTAGTTCCACCTGGAGTGAATTCACAAGCTACCCTGCAGTATACAAAGTCATTCAAACTAGCTGCACCTTTACCAGCTTTGAGAACACTCTAATCAGAATCAGAATGCAGCAATGATTATTATTAAAACATATAATATATACTATTCTGAAATGGGCCAATTTGCACATTGAGTACTTTTACTTTAGGTACTTTAAGTATATGTTCATGCTAATACTTTTAGTTGAGTGACATTTTGAATGCAGGACTTTTACTTGTAACAGAGTACTCCTACACTCTAGTAAGTACTTCTACTTTTACTTAGGTACAAGATAAGAGTACTTCTCCCACCTCTGTCAGAATCTGTGAAAAACTGAAAGCTGCTTACTTTATATGTGTAGAGGGCAAACATAATAATAGTGTTATTATTAAAGAGTATACAACAATGAGAGCAGGGAATGTTGACTCTATTTGATTTTGTCCTCTAAGCATCCTGTCAAAGACAAGAACATAGGAAATACTGAAAATCAGACATCCACCCTTTCAAAGTAAGAAAATAACCAACAATCTCTCCCAACAATTGTTGTACAATCAAGTACCCTTTTGCCTGAACAAAAGTGTTGATCTCGACAGGTTTACTTCAGAATTTGATATCATGGAGCGTCTTGGAAGGGGAGCCTATGGTTATGTTTACGAAGCAAGACACAAACTGCTGAAGAAGTGTTTTGCTGTAAAGATTGTCCGCAGTAACGAGTAAGTATGCAGTAGTGCAGATCAACTGTGCATTATGCAGTATGTATGCAAATACTTTGTTTACTGATTCCATTGTTTTTCTCTTTTGGATCAGGAAAGCTCTTCGAGAGGTGGGGACACTGTCAGACCTTCTCCACTGTAACATCGTCAGATACTACACATGTTGGCTGGAGGATTCAGGATACCAAGGTCACATTACAGCTGGAAACTCAGATGGCAGTTTCAGCTCTTCCCAGTGAGTCCCATACAGTAACCCTAATCAGGCTATAGACAGCATGCAGAGCATATCTTTGATTCCAGGTTGGGCCACGATTACCTGCACATGGCTCTCAACTTCTAAGGGAGGCTGTGGCGTAGTGGATAGTGCGTTGGTGTTGGGATCAGAGGAGCACAGGTTCAAACCCCACTGCAGTCAGCATGTCGTTGTGTCCCTGAGACACTTCACCCCAAATTGCTCCTGTGGGGATTGCACACAGTATTGAGTATGTAAGTCGCTTTGGATAAAAGCGTCTAACAGGTGACATGTCATGTAATATAACTTGGAGATGGGTGAGCCTTAACCGCTGTATGTCCACAGGTCAGAGCTGTAAAGAGTTTCTAGCCATTCACAGGGACTATCAAGCTTGGATTAAAACATACCGAGAAGAAGTGACTTCATCAAAAGAATAGTAATATTATCATGTTTCTCGTCTCTCTCTTTTCTTAGGTCTATAGAAGATCCATCAGCAAAGTACCTCTATATTCAGATGGAGTTATGCAAAACAAAAACACTTACAAAGTGGATAGAAGAGAAGAACACTCAGTCTCTGCAAGACTCCAAGAGAAGACAAGAAAGTGTAACCATTGCTCAGCAAATAGTCAGTGGAGTCGAATATATTCACTGCAAGGGACACTTCCACAGGGACCTTAAGGTAAGTCTGCCGTGCATATCTGAGGGAAATGTTGATATACCTACAGTATATTACATTACATGTCACTTGTTAGACACTTTAACGCAAAGCGACTTACATAATTTCAATACTGTGGGCAATCCCCACACAGGAGCAATTTGGGTTGTCTTGCCCAACGACATAGCGGAATGCTGACTGCTGCAGGATTTAACGAGTCCCCCCCGATCCGAAGATCAGCGCACTCACTTTAGGTGTTTGGGCATTTTATATGCTTCATGAAAGCCTCAGATCATACAATTATTGAATAGGATTGAGTACGCTTCAATTATTTGTATTAGATTATCATATTATGAAACGTGAGTGATAATAATAAAGTGAAAACATTGAAGAATAATGGTACGTAGGATTTTCTCTTTGTGCTTTGAAATCAACTACACAAACATTATTAGGCTGTTAATTGATCAATAGACCCTTACCTATTTGCTGCCCAAGGCAAGATTTGAGCTGGCGCCGATATGAAAAAGATCTTTATACAATTAAATAATCAAAGAATCCTTGAAATATGGCCATAACAAACCACAGCCAATACAAATGTAACTTGTTTATTTTATTTTTGTTGTTCATTAATAGTGGTGAGAATGCAGGACCTCTACCTCCTGTCTCAGAGCCTCTCCTCTCTCTCCCCTCTCTCCCCCTCCTGTGAAGCAGTAAACAACAATTTTAAAGTCTATCTTATCTTATGTTACCTAGTTCAGTCAGACAACTCACGTGTTCCTTTAACATGTTTATTAGAAGCAGCATATAGTTGAGTTTGGCGACTAGGCTCGGGCATCATCACTCCATAGATATACATAGCACGATGAGTGATGATTAAATAACTAACCCCCGAGCCTACAGGTGGAAGCTGGGGTGGTGGTGGGGCAGGCAAGCAGCAGCAACATGAAACACAGCAGCAGGAACATGAACGCAGCAATAGCAAGTGAACACAGCAGTGGCAGCAGGCAAGCAGCAGCGACGTAGAGGTAGCTGCGGCAATAGCAGCAGCAAGCAATGCATGGAGAGAGATCTGGCAGGTTAAATAGAGCGGCATATTAAGGAGACTCTGTTTGGTTGGTTGTAGAGTGGCAAGGGGCGTTATGTATGAATGCAGCATAAGTGCTCGAGTTGACTGCCTGAACTAGCTCGCAGGCTTCGCCCCATTTCAGTCAGACAACTCACGTGTCCTTTAACATGTTTATTAGAAGCAGCATATAGTTGAGTTTGGCGACTAGGCTCGGGCCTCATCACTCCACAGATATACATAGCACGATGAGTGATGATTAAATAACTAACCCCCAAAACTGCATGGAGATTAGATACTATCCCCCAAAACTGCGTAGCCCGAGCCTGACGCTGGTGATGTAAGACTGATAAGTAGAGGGCCTGGCGAGCTGCCATGTGGCCATTCCCCCTAAACACAGCGGCTTTAAGGGGAATATACTACTAAGTGAGACTGCTATGTGTAGGCCTGAGGAATAGCCCAGAGCCGATTCTTCCCTGAGCACAGCGGCTTGGAGAGGAATATACTACCTATATACACTACCTAGTGACTGCTATGTGAAGGCCCGGGAACAGCCCGAAAAGCCATCCCCATTAAGCACCACGGCTTTGAGGGGAATATACTACCTAGTGACTGCTATGTGAAGGCCCGGGAACAGCCCGAAAAGCCATCCCCCCTTAAGCACCGCGGCTTTGAGGGGAATATACTACCTATCAAGACTGCTGTATCTAGGTCTTTGAGGCAGCGACAATGAGCTTTCCCCCCCTAGCATGCAGCTATGAGGGGAATATACTATAATGAAATAAATATAATCTAACCCAGCAACCACCTGGTATGCAATAACAGAATTCTACAGATATACATATTTGAACGTTTACTCATCATCGAGTAGTGCAAGAGCTCATGGTTGTTTGTGCTGAAAGGATCTCATTCATGTGAGGCATGATATAGCGCTGGTGGGCAGAAGATGACCGACGGCCCAGGATACTCAGGGTTGAGGTAGGCGGATATAGAGCTGCGGTTGTGGCTGTGCAGATTCTTAAACAGTGGGAATAGCGATCTGGGGGCAGATCGCAGCTTAGGCAGAGATCGCGCAGCTTGGAGGAGAACCCTCTTCGTTGGGTTTGCAGCCATCAAATAAACATGGGTGCCGACCCATGTGTCAGAGGGCAATGATGCGAGAAGTTCAGCATGGAAGATAAAGGACAAAGAAAACAGTGTTAGTTTTAGCAATGATTATTCGGGGTTCCTTGACTCCCCAGACAGAACTGTCAGACATTGAATGTTTCAAAACTGTGTATATTTGATCTCCAACGTTAATTCAGTAAGGGTGAGATTATGCTGAGGATTAAAAGGTGAGAGGTCTGTGTATATTCGCCACCTGAGAAACCAATAGAAAGCTGTAACAACTGCATCTGACGTTTATCAATGTATAGTGAAACCCCTTTGCCAGTCTTTATCATTGCGTGGAGGACGTGCCTTCTTAAGGCCCTTGAGGAGCAAATTAATGAACTCTAGCGTGGCTTAATACTTAGCACTTGAAGATTGCAGGATTCGAATGAAAATACAATTATATATATTGCATGAACGACTATTATATCTATTGCACAAGTACACAGAGGAGGGACAGAAGAAGATAAAGTACCAAGCTGAATTGTAATCTTTGAATCATGCTCTTGGTTGGAGGCAGAATATGGGAAATCCTTGAGGGGCTTGACGTGTAGATCCAGAGTCATTTGGTTGAACGAAGGGCATGGCAAGCTGGTGGGGCAAACCACTCATTGTGAAATCCCCCGAACCAGCAGAAGGTGCAGCATCTGTAAGTAACTAGAGAGGATCTGAGGACACCGCAAGGTCATTATAAAAGAATGAACATAACATTGCACTCGTCGCAGAGGGGCTAAGGACCAAAGATCTGAGCAATAACCATCTCTAAGATTGCATTCATGCCGAATAGGCCGCGTATTTACACCAGACACAAGTGTATTACATCGTTTCATTTGCAGAAGGTTGGGTTTGCGTTCACCCAGGCAACTTCAAATAGACTATGAACTGTAAACTAAAGTCATTGTACGGAGATGCTTTTTCAACAATTGGCAGGACATCAAGCAGATAAAATGCAGATCCCAGCAATTCCTACAGTAGCCTGCATCATGGAGCATTGGCAGGTTATTTTCATACTGCTGTTAATCTGGAGAGTGCATCAGCAAACTCTGCGGCCGGCGCATAGGATTATAAATCAGACAACGTGCATTAAAAACATTATAACACAAAATGCGACGTTATGCAGTGAGGAGGTTTCACCGATGACAGGTGGCTCTGATGAGATTGTACCACTGCCTTTTCTCTGTACACAGGGGACCAGTGAGGTAAGCAGTCACCAGAATGAATGCATGACCCTATAGGTTACTGGATGTTGCACACAGCATAGATAGCAAAACAAGCGATGATGCACAAATAGTTGTTTCCCATGTTTTGATGCGGACTGCGTCACACCAGCAATGAACCTCTCTGGAGTTTACTAGCGAGCGACCCGAGACCACCTCTTTTAGCGGAGCAGAGGTATCGGACTGCTTCCACACCAATCCAACGAACCGCATCAAGGGGTTAACGCTACAGGGACCGATTCAATAGTACTAACCAAGCAGGTGTGAACGTGACCTAAGACTATGGTGCCTTAAGGTTTGGACAGAAAGGCTAGCGCTTGTTCCTTATAAATATAAAACATCTCTTTTAGAGAGACTACCAGTGGGAGACCATAATTGAAGACAGTAATCAGTATTGAATGTATTACAAGTCTAATATGTAGTATAACGTGGAGCACTTTGAACATTTGGAAAGGCGCTAAATAAATAACATGAATTGTAATTTTGGCTGTTCTATGGCACACTATCGAGAATGATACCGATAATTCTAGACGTGTGGAAGGGCTTCCAGTTCCTGTTCTGAAAGAGGTAGGCCTAGCTGTTGAAAAGTTTTATCTGGGAAAGTTAACTAGGAAATGGTTAAAAGATGGACACCAAGGGGTGCTTGCAGGTGTTGCAGAGAATCCAGCATACTGCTTCTGATGAGGTGTCAAAGAAACGTGGGCTACTATGGAAACCAAATGCACATTTGATTGTAAAACCTTAAAATATATATGCCACAGAAGGCATATGGGATGTCTGCTTTCCCTGCCATGTCATCTACAGAGCAAAGAAACGGGAAAATCTTTTGTAGTTATTAATACTCTTAACAGAATAATCGTGAGGAACTAACGGCTCAAGAAACGTTGCTAGAATAATTCCTCCTAGCACTAGGCTAGGGGCCTGTCGTGTTTTTAAACGTTTAAATAGCAGCACGTGTAATACTCCTGGCTCCTTCAGTGCAAACTTCAGTCTTGAGTGCAGGTTTCAACAGACATGGGTCCCTGGGAGCCAGCCTAACCTGCTAAGAAACCTTGATTTAAGCCTGTGATAAGGTCATTTGACGAACATCTGTGATTAGAAAGAGCTTGGAAACGATTTGCAGCATGTGGCCTCCTGAGGCACACCCAGCGAGGGGCAGAATATTGCAGGTAGAGCTTAATTCCTGTAAGGAAAAACTCTTCTTTGGTAGGTGATTAAATATACATGGCCGCTTGGCAGAGAATGATTCATGGTATTCATAGAAAAGACACTGTAGGAGAGATTGAAGTCTAAAATGATGGTCAAAAATGTATCGAGCTTCCCTTCATATTCCCGTGATGGAAATGATTAATTTATTTCCATTTTTAATTTCATTGATTTATAGTAGTATAAATACTTATACACATACAACTTCTGTATAATTGCCTCAAATATGACTTACTGCAGGCCAAATATTTCCATAATAAAACATTGCTTATGCAGAATAGTATTATATACCTGCCAAGATGCGATTCCTAAGGAATTGCTGCTGCAGGGGGCAGGAAGCTAGAACTCGTGGCTGGATCTGGGACTCCAATTCCCAAAATCCTCGGGAGTGTGACGTCAGTGGCACAAGTGGTTGAACGCGGAAGTAGAAACATTTGTTTACATGCAGGCAGAGGAAATCGAGTTTGTTCACGGGAATATATCGTGCAATTAAAGGCTTCAAGCGCTGATTTTACTTCGAGAAGGTAGGACAGGGAGGCAGGTACTTTGGGAATGCCGGGGTCAGCTTGCTCCTGCCTTTTTTTGGTGTTTAATTACCCGCCGACCGAGAGACTCTTAGCTGACACACAAGAAAGGGGTTGTTACCGGAGCTGGCGTAGAACTCGGGACTTCCTCTGGCCCAAAGGATATTAAAAGCTACTCCAGATGAGTACGGAAGGGACACCTGAATGTGTGTCGTGCGGCAGCTGTGGCTCGTTCCAGCGGCGTCTGAACCATGCTCTGAGCTAGCCTGTGTTTCGGGAATGAGGCATTTCTTACGGCTTCTTGCGTATGATGATTCGGTTCCAGAGTCGGAGATTGCAATAGACATTTGCAAGGACAGCACCGGCAGGCAAGCAGCAGCAACATGAAACACAGCAGCAGGAACATGAACGCAGCAATAGCAAGTGAACGCAGCAGGCAAGCAGCAGCGACGTAGAGGTAGCTGCGGCAATAGCAGCAGCAAGCAATGCATGGAGAGAGATCTGCAGGTTAATTAGAGTGGCATATTAAGGAGACTCTGTTTGGTTGGTTGTAGAGTGGCAAGGGGCGTTATGTATGAATGCAGCATAAGTGCTCGAGTTGACTGCCTGAACTAGCTCGCAGGCTTCGCCTCATTTAACATCTTTATTATTATATTCATGCATATTTTGCTAAT